TATGAAGGGTTTGTTCACTTACACTGGCTGCTGGGTGCACAGATGGATGAGCTGAGTCCTGTAGGTCCTGCTGAGGAACCTTAAGGGGCTGCTGAAAGGTTTCAGCAGAGGGGACCTGATCAGCTGTGAGGTCTGGCAGGAATGTGGAGACAGGAGTAGATGTAAATAATATCATCACAGCAACACATCACAAATAGCCCAAAATATCAAACAGAGAGAAGTTGGTGTAAAAAATGAATCCTGACACAGAAAAGTGTTAGACAACATGCTATGTATGAAACACAGGTAACAAAACATATGTACAGTATGATTTCAATTTCATTGACCAAAAAAAGATGAAAAAAAAACTTACAGAAAACACACCAATATTCTAACAACATATTTTACATAATCCTCCTTCCCTCCTTCCTTCCTTCTCTCTATTTTTCCATACTTTTTATTATATGTGTACAATTTGCTGTATCAGAATACAAAAGAGCATACTTTTTAAATTAAAAAGTAGCAGCCAGGTACTCGTTATGAGTCTGCTGGACTCTCCTTGGTGTTGGGAAGGGGCGCTGACTGACCGGCCTGGGTCTGGCTCTTCAGCACAGGCGGAAGCGCCGCGCCACACCCTTGGCTTCTCCCTCGCCGCCCCCACAAGAGACAGAGGCCGAAGAGATGTCACTCCAGTCAGTGATGGCCGCCCTCCAGGCCGTGGAGAAGAAGATGGAGGCCCAGGCCGCCCAGCTGCAGAGCCTGGAGAGACGCATGGAGACAGCCGAGAAGAAGCTGGCTGACTTTGAGAAGACGGCCGTGGAGTTCGGGAACCAGCTGGAGGGCAAGTGGGCCGTGCTGGGGACCCTGCTGCAGGAGTACGGGCTGCTGCAGAGGCGGCTGGAGAACATGGAGAACCTGCTGAGGAACAGGAACTTCTGGGTCCTGCGGCTGCCCCCGGGCAGCACAGGGGAGGCCCCCAAGGTAGTCCTTTTATTTGAGATTCTCAATTGGTGGCTTTTCCCTAATGGCTGAGACAGGAAGCACTCACTGTATAACGTTTGCGATTTCAGATGCCCAGGTCACTGGAGAATGATGGAGTCTGCTTCTCGGAGCAGGAGTGGGAGAATCTGGAGGACTGGCAGAAGGAGCTGTACAGAAACGTGATGATGAGCAACTATGAGACGCTAGTCTCTCTGAGTAAGCAGCCCTTTCTGCCCAGACATCCCACAATTCCTGGCCTGTGCTGAGTGGAAAAATGGGAGTCTCCGAGTCCTCAATTTACCAAGACATTAGGAAAGGTCATAGTGTCATGCCTTTCTTCTCTGTGGTCCCATAGTCAAATCTTGATAATATTTACTAATAGATAAGAGGTCATGATATGCATTATAGTATAACATAGCTAGGGTTCCTCATGCTATTTTTTTTTCTTAATATACTTTTATTGATTTCAGAGAAGAAAGGAGAGGGAGAGACAGAAACATCAACGATGAAAGATAATCACTGATGGGCCACCTCCTGCACACCCCCACCAGGGACCTAGCCCGCACCCTGGGAATCGAACTGTGACCTCCTGGTTCACAGGTCGACACTCAACCACTGAGCCATGCTGGCCAGGCCCTCATGATATTTCCAGTGCTTAAGACTATTTGATAAGGAATCCTTTGTTACCTGGGATGAGACAGGCAGTACAGGCTAACCAAAAATTGTCCTGGGCACTTGGCTGGAATCACAGCCAGTTGTGGTCTCGGTGTTTATTTTGTGTTGATGAGAAGTACTGCTTAATAGATACAGATCTTGATATGCAAAATGTTAGCTATTACATTATAAATGCATTTTGTTTGGTAGACAAAATGTTTGACAACCTAAAAGGTTCATGGAAGGTTGTCAGGAAGGCCACTGGGACTGGAGCAGAGTGGAGGGAGCAGGAAAGTAGCAAATGGGTCAAAAGGTTACTGTGACCTCACGGGGTCATGTGTTGCTTGTGGCTGATGCCTTATCTGTCACAGGTGGGGGATAAGTGCCTGCCATTTCGCAGTGGTATTGGTGGAATGAGTGATGGGCTCCTGTGCCTGCCTGCTGAGCCACAGGGGACTGATGAAGGGGCACCAAGGGGGCAGTTAGCTGAATACATCATTCCAATGGGCCATCATTTCCTAATTGTCCCAAACTACTAGGGGAAAGTGACAGAAACAGTACTTTGAAGTTTTAATATTGACTCCTTGACATTGGTCACCTCGTTCATCAGCAAGTGACTAGTGTGCATTGAGAGTTTACTCTCCTGGGCTCACATTGTGCCATTTCCAACCCAGAGGTCCTTGGCCAGCCAGAAGGAGAAGCGGAGTTGGGTACAGAGATGCTGGGAGACTTGGAGGAGGAAGGCCTTGGTGGTGTCCATCCAGGTGAGTGGCTCCAGAATATTCCATTCCCCTCCCCACTCCCTGTAGTCTATAGTGAGCTTTCCCACTGCTAAACTGCCAAACATTGATCATCAGTAGCCTCATGTGGCATTTACTTATTCTAGATTCTTTTATGATTATCATTAGCTCACCTATTATGTGTGTCTGAACTCCTTACTGCTATTTGGAATCCTTGAGATTCATGACCATATCGGACTTCGTGTCCTACAGAGGAGAGTACATAATAGACTTTAGTCAAAACCCACAGGGTGTTGAGGATAGGGTTGCTCACAGCATCAGGAGTGAAGTTGACTGGGTGAGAGACAGGAAAGGCATTTATAAGCCAGGTAATTTGGGGAGAATGCAGGAAGAACAGCTGGATACATGAACTTTTAAGCTATAGGTTTAGTTGTGTGTGTGTTTAATCTTATTTTTATTACTTTAACACTCCTAAGTAAGTATAGTTTTTCAGTATATTTAGCCATTTTTCAGAGATTGAATATAATTTGTGGACAAACTAGAAAAACTATCATTTATAACATTGTTCTATAAGAAGAATATATTCAGATTTCCCACCCACATGTCTCTACCGGAGTATAGGTTTCCCTTTCCAGGTTTTGGAACCCAGTCAGTCTCTAATTCCCTTGATCCTTTGATTTGAGCCCTTCTGGAATTCACAGATGTTTAGCTCCAAAGAAACCCAAGGTGCTAGAATGTGATCTTTTTTTGTTGGTTTTCTTTGTTTTGGCAGCAGAAGGGGTTGTGATTAAGCAGGAGGTAGAATACCCGCCGGAACACTCTGAGGATCTTCCGGGAGAGCTCTCAGGCCCCGCGGAAGAGCCGGCTTTCCTAGGCCCGGAACAGACTGAGCTCTGGAATACTCAGGGCGGTTCTGTCCTCTTGGAACCAGGGGCCGGGGACGCTAATCTAGAGGAGCCCACTGAGGGCAGCAGAGACCCTGGCAGTGACAGAAATCTGGACTGCCCCCCGAAGCAGAAATCTAATAGGCCGGTGCAACTGGCTCCGGAATGTAATCCGGCCCTGAAGCTGAATAGGGAAGATTTCGGCCCCTACGATTGTCCTGAGTGCGAGCTCAGCTTCCGCTGTGAGCAGCAGCTGGCCTATCTGCGGGCCCACCCATCGTGGGAGTCTTCCACCACCTCAGAGCCAGAGGAGGGTCTTAGGTCCAGGCCCCTGCTGAAGCCCCCGTCCAAGAAGGGGAAGCAGCATCAGTGTGACGTGTGCATGAGGAGCTTCAGCAGCAAGGTGAACCTGGTGAACCACCAGCGCTGCCATTTGCAGGAGGGGCCCAGTGGTGGCCAGCGTGTCCAGGAGAGGTTCTCGCCCAACAGCCTGGTTGCCCTGCCCGGCCATATCCCCTGGAGGAAAAGCCGGAGTTGCCTCATCTGTGGTTACTGTGGCAAGAGCTTCAGCCACCCATCAGATCTGGTGCGGCACCAGCGCATCCACACGGGTGAGCGGCCCTACACCTGCCCCGAGTGTGAGCGGAGCTTCGTGCAGAAGCAGCACCTCCTGCAGCACCAGAAGATCCACCAGCGGGAGCGTGGCGCACTGGCCTCGGAGCCAGGCAGGCCCAACGGCCTGCTCTAAGGGTGCCAGCCCCCCGCCTGTCCGGGGGGGCTCAGGGGGCTGGCATTGGTCCCCCGAAGAGACACTGTGCAGAGTCAGGGACTGACTTCTTCCTTGGGGGTGTCATTTTGATTTGCCTAACTTTGGCCAAGCAGCAGGCCGAGCCCAAGTCCTCAGAACTGTGTGGAGGAGGGGCGGGGCCAGGCCTGTCCCTGCTGTCTACCCTGCTGCTGTGTTTGCCGTGTCTTTGGCACCTTCGAGTCTCGGGTTTTCCCATCCATGCTGATACTTGTGCACTGGGGTTGGTTTGAGGGTCTATCCCAGCGTTTCAGGTCTTCCCACGGGTGGAGTCAGGCCAAAGGAATGAGCAGGTGTGCAGAAGAGCTCTGGGAAGCATAACCCTCTGTTTTCTCTTCTGTTGTAGTATTCTTGTTAATAACAAGTAGAAGTAATTTAAATGAACTGCTCACCTTGCTCTGAAGAACCTTTTTGGAATTAGATTTTAGCTGATTTAAAGAAAATACGGCCTGACACTTGTTTTTTTAACTTCCCAAGTTGTAGAAGTTGTTCCTAACATGGGGCCTGCTGCCATCTGGGAGCGAATTGTTTCTGGGCTTCCTTTAGCCTGCCCACACTTAGGCCAGTGATCAGGGTGCATAGCTCGGGCTCCCTATTGTGAGGGGACTTAGCACTCTCGGATGGGGCTCACTGAATCAAAAGGACCAAGGGGGAGAGAGCAGTGGGAGTGGACCCCAAAGCCCCCATTGAGAATGAGTCTGGGAAAGGAGCTGAGAGTACGGAGCTGCTTCCTCCCAGGAGTTCGGCACTTGGGTTTCTCACCACAGCTCGCTTTCCCTTCCATCTGCGTCCTCGCTGGGTTCTGTAGCCTCACAGGGTAGACGACTCCTTTGTTACTTAAGGTTGTTCAGCTTGTATCAGCTTGTATTTGAGTTTGTTCCTGTTAGACCAGTTGTTCCTTGAGGTTGTTCAGATGACACACTTTCCCAATTAGTTCTGGGGTTGACTGTTCCAGAGATGATGGAGAAAAAGCACGTGGGTGCTTGTCTCCCAGGAGAGGTGAATGCCTGCCGCACTGCTGTTGGGAGTGGGCTCCTGGGTCCTGTGTGAGTGTCCCCTTTGATGACTTGGCAGTTGCTTAGAATAAAACTTGCTGCTGGCAAAAAAATGTGCTCATGTCGGGTGTTTTTCTCCAGTTGTCAAGAAGACCCTCCTAGGAGCAAGGTGGAGGAGGTGCCTGACCTGGAGCAGCGACAGAGGGCTGACTTAAACCTAGATTTGCAGACGAGAAGAGGGTGTGTATGGGACCCTGTTGGTGGACGCTGAGGGCTGCAGACAGTCTGAATGTCAGTTGTTGGAAGGCAGTAGGTAGAGGAGGCAGGTGCACCAGGGAGTACTGGGTAGCAGTTGGAAATACTGACTTCAGTATACATATAGTCATATGGGTTGATCTTAAAAATACAATGTTGAGTGGAAAAATATAAGAAATTGAGATATATAACAATACCATTTATGTAAATTAAAATGCATGTACACAAAACAAAACAGAACACAGAAATAAAAAATTACACATTAAAGGCATCTCAGTGCTCTGGCCAGTGGGCTCAGTGGTTAGAGCGTCCACCAGCATAGTGGACAGGAGAGATGGACAAGATTGACAAGGTACCGTCAACAGCATGAGATGCTTTTTGAAGGCAGGGACCATGTCTTAATTGTATCCGGACTCCCCAGCTCTGAGTACAGGGACTTTGCACAAAGGTGCTCAACACACGTTTATTGCATGAGCAGATGCATGAGGGGAGTTCACAGAATAGGGAGCTCAGCATTGTCTGAGCAGGGTCGGCTTCAAGGAGGAAGGGGGTTGGTGACATTTTTGGTCTCCCTCTACTACTAATTTCCCTCGGAAGTTTTACATACGTGGGTGGGGCCACTTTAAAAACTGATACTTTTTCCGAGTAAGGTGCAGCCCTGGAATTTGGGGCCAGGTTCGGAGTGTTGCTTTGAAGCAACAAGGGATCAAGTCAATATATGGCATTGTTCATTGTGAAATTCCTTGTTGAAGTAATGCAGTGTAACAGACAATTTGCAAATGAGTGCTGAAGGCATTAAGAGGATCTTTAGTGTGGACCCTAAGAAGAAAGATTCATTTGATGTGAACCCCGAGAAGGAATTTATCTGCTGAGATGGGCTACCGAGGGCCCAACTTTTTTAAATAGTAAGAGCCTAGCTGCCATTTGCTGACGGGCTCCTCACAAATGCTGTGTACCAGGGAGAACCTCAGACTGAACTCTCAGTGCCCGCACTATTCCCTGCTTGTTTGTACCACCTGAGTCAACCTCTGAAGGGAAACCCTGGTTTCATCTTCTACCAACAGACTGAGATCTGCCCTGTCCTATCAGAACTGCACAATTTTGATACCTCACATAAGAAGCACCTAATTGAGAACCTCAGTGGGAACTTTCACTATGAAAACAGCCTTCATGCCCTAGCTGGTTTTGCTCAGTGGATAGAGCATTGGCCTGCGGACTAAAGGGTCCCAGGTTCAATTCCGGTCAAGGGCACATGCCCGGGTTGCGGGCTCAATCCCCAATAGGGGGCATGCAAAAGGCAGGCAATTGATTCATTCTCATCATTGATGTTTCTATTTCTCCCTCTCCCTTCCTCTCTGAAATCAATAAAAATACATTTAAAGAAAAAACACACACACACACAAAACAAAAACAACCTTCATTACCCTGGTCGGGTACTTCAGTTGGTTGGAGCATCATCCCATGCACCAAAAGGTTATGGGTTTCATTCCCGGTCAGGGCACATACCTGGGTTGCAGGTTTGATCCCCTGTCAGGGTGTATATGAGGGGCAACCCATCAATGTTTCTCTCAAATCAATAAAAAAACACACATATCCTCGGGTGAGGATTAAAAACAAAAATGGACTTTGTCTTGGTGGAAGAGTTTGGGTTATTACTTTAGTCTGTGTCTCTAGGCTGAAGCTCCTTTTTGCTCAAATAACTATCTTTTATTCTTTACTAGAGACCCGTTGCACGAAATTTGTGCAAGGGGCTCGGCCCTCACAGCCGAGGCAGCTTGCCTCAGCCCTCGCAGCCCCAGCTTTGTCCCGGAGGACGTCAGAAGGATGTCCGGAAGGTTGATCGGCTGTCCGGTCTAATTAGCATATTACACTTTCATTATTATAGATTACAGGCTACAATTGTTTTTGATTTACACTAGGAGCTCATCAGAGATCCATCAGACCAATATATTAAGAATTATAAAATACTGGTAAGTTGTGATCTTAGAAAATAAGAATTGATGCCCAATGTAAACAGAAGAGTTTGTGGGCTTGTTGGACAAAGATTATAAAATGAATGGGAAATGCAGAAAAGGTAGAAAATAAAATTTTATACTGCATACAGCATGTTTCATTTTACATTCAGTGATTAACTCTGGTTTTCCATAGTAAGGCTCTTTACAAATGAGGAAACGGGTCCCATATTGAGTGGTTTATTCAAAATGCCTCAGGGCCTGAATTAGTGGTGGATTTACTTTTGCTGCAAGCCCAGCCTGGAGCCAGAGCTGTGAAGATTCCAGATGATGGCTGACATGCAAGGGAAGACTGGGCGTTGTCAACCTAAGAAATGTTTAAACCTGTAGAGAATTTTTATGAGTGTATTTGAGCCAAACTGACAATTGCCAGAAAGCAAAATCTTAACATATTGAGAAAATGCTCCAGAGAATGACAGATTTGCACCTTATTTTATACATTACAAACAAGGAGGAGGCATAAGGGGTTACATGAAATCCATGTGACTGGACATGATAGATTAGGGAGGTGGGAGAAAGCAAAGTGGAGAAATCTCTGGGACCGGATAAAAAGTAATATAAATAGACACTTCTTTTACATTTGTGGTTATAGGATAGTTAGCAGTTAACACTATAACAAATCATGAGTGGTTTTGTGATCTTTGCTCTGGTGCAGTGAGGGGTCCAGAAAAAAGGAAATTACCCTGACATTTCTCTCTCTCTCTTTTTTTTTTTTAATCCTCGCCCGAAGATATGTTTCTTATTGATTTTTTAGAGAGGGAGGAAGGGAGAAAGAAATATCGATTGGTTGCTTCCCGTAAGAAGGGTTTTGTGGTCTCTGGTGCAGTGAGGGGTCTAGAAAAAAAGAAATTACACTGGCATTTCTTTTCTTTTTACTCCTCACTCAAGGATATGTTTTTGTTTATTTATTTTTTAATTTTTAGAGAAAGAGGAAAGGGGAGAGAGGGAAAGAGATCAGTTGCCTCCCATACTCGCCCCAACTGGGGATCAATTCCACAACCCAAGTATGTGTCTGACTGGAAATTGAACCCGAAACCTTTTTTGGTGCATGGGATGATGCTCCAACCAAATGAACCACCTAGCCAGGGCACCCTGGCATTTCATAGATGCAAAAAGACAATAGACAGGCTCAGTTAAGGTTAAAGATTAACCTTTGTCAGGGTATCTCCCCTGACAAAGGTCAATCTTGCCATGTCTAGCTTTTGTTAGAAAGTTTTAATTTCAGACCATCCAGTGTGGTTACTTTAGGTCTCAGTTTGTAAGGCTCACGGAGCTGGCCTTTGCTGAGCTTGTCAGGTTTAGTATGTGGTCCCTTTTTGGTCCACAGTGTGACACAGAGGACTTCAGGGACACACTGTGGCACAGAGGACTTCGGGGATACACTGTGGCACAGAAGACTTCAGGGGCGCACTGTGGCACAGAGGACTTCAGGGGTGCACTGCGGCACAGAGGACTTCAGGGGCGCACTGTGGCACAGAAGACTTCAGGGGCGCACTGTGGCACAGAGGACTTCAGGAGCGCACTGTGGCACAGAGGACTTTGGGGGCGCACTGTGGCACAGAGGACTTCGGGGGTACAGCGTGGCACAGAGGACTTCCACAGCTCTGCTCAGGAGCTAGGTCTCAGGAAAGGAAGAGGGGACTGAGGATTCCCAAAGCTGTTTGGGGAAGAGAGGGAAGGCTTTTTTTTTTTTTTTTTTTAATGAATTAAATTTTTCCTGAGGTCTCTATTTGGTCTGGAAAACTAAAAGAGGTTTAGCCCGGCTGGCCGTGGTTCAGTGGTTGAGCGAGCCTGGACCTATGAACCAGTAGGTCTGGGTTGCAGGCTGGATCCCCAGTAGGGGGCGTGCAGGAGGCAGCCCGACAGGGATTCTCTCATCATTGATGTTTCTATCTCTGGATTCCTCTCTGAAATCAATCAATCAATCAATCAATCAATAAATAGGTTGATAGATTTTAAGAGTTAAAACCTTTATTTTTCCTGGGCATGAAATACTATATTCAAACTAATAGTCACTTTGGGTCCATTAGAGGTGTTAAAACGGTGACTCTGCATACACTGAGATTCCCCATGGGGGCTGGGGTGAGGCGGAACTCCCAAAGTTGTGAAGTCACGCACTTCCCCTGTCCGCTCTCTGGCCCGATTCCTGGGTGGGACACTGGGGTCCCTAAGCCCCGCCATCCTGCAGCGGGTTCGGGGCCGGCCTGGGCCCCGG